TTGTGCTAATGTTGCTCAGCAATTTAAAAAAAAAAATACATATATATATATATATATTTATATATATATATATATATATATAATTAAGGACCTCCCTGGTTAAGACTCTATGCTTCCACTGCAGAGTGTGTGGGTTCGACCCCTGGTTGGGAAGCTAAGATCCCACATGCTGTGCAGCACGGCCAAAAATAAGTAAGATTTAAAATAGATTAAAAAAACAAATATAATTAGTAAAAATTCAAACCATAAAAAAGTACATACAATGAAAAGTAGATTTTTCTACCATCGTAAACATTCACCTTCCTCAGAGGCAACAACTAGGAAGAACTTGGCCCTCCTCATTCCAGAAATTTTCTATGCATGTGAAAATGTCTGCATGCATCTGTATTTCACTCATACACATACAAGATATTATAGATGTAGATTTATAATATCCTTGAAGCTTAGGCTAAGGTCAGTGAGTGAATATGTGTTATCTCAGAAATCTGCATTCTTTAGAAACAGTATAAAACATCTTGCAGCTGAAATGACTTTTAGGAGAGCCAGGCTAAGTCCTTTTAAGTGCTTAGGTGGCTTCATGATTTACAGTCTGTAATTAAATGTGCGGCGGGGTTGAGCATCAGTATGCCAAATCGAACAGAGGAAAGACTAGTTTCCACTGCTTTGCAGTTTTTTTTTTTCCTTTCACTTACAGATCCGAAGTCTTTTCTTACAATACATTATCTTTACTGTTGCAGTAGTCCATTGTGTGGTGTGGCATAATTTATTTTTCTAATACCCTATGGATATGACTGATAGGTGTGCAGGTTGTCTTTAATATTTTGCTATTAAAAATGCTAAAATGAGATTCTTATGCGTCCATCTTTGCATACTTGTGGTCTGTATCATAGAATAAACTCTGATGGTGAAAATCTTATATCAAAGAATAGCTTCACATTAAATTGATAAGTATTACCAAATTAATGTCTTAAGACTTTGCACCAAATTACATTCCTAACCACTGGTGATAAATAGTAGCTTACACACTTTGATCTTTGCCACTTTCATAGGTGAAAAAATGTATCTCACTTTACTTTCTTTTTGCCTAAGTAGTTTTGAATGTTGAATAATGCTGAGTAATGTTTATAAGCCTTATTTCTATGAACTACCTGTTCATATCCATAGCCAGATTTTCCATTAAGTCACTGGCCTCTCCTTTATTGATACTCAAGATCTCTTTACATAATAGCCCTTTGTCTGTTGTCTTACAAATGTCACCCCCCCACCCCCACCACATGCACCTTTATGCCATTTGTCTTTTACAGAATTTTATTTTTCTGTGAAAGAATTTCACTTTTTATACAGTAAAATTTTTCATTCTTCTTATTTTTGAGTGTTATTTTATGAGTCTTTTTTTATGCTTAGAAAGTCATTTGCTGCTCCATTTTTTTAAAGTTTACATTTCCTTTGGATACCTTTATGTTTGAACTATTTACATTAAATACATAGTACATCTGGAATCTAAAGCTTCAGCTTTGTCTTTCCCACATGGTTAACCAGTTGCTGCAAACATTTCATTGACTAATTCAGTTTTTCCTGAAGTAAAATGCCAACTTTACTATGTATTAAATTCATTCAACATTATATTTTCTGGATTTATACACTGGTGTCTTGTGTCTGCTCTGACTCTTTACAATCTCTTTTGTTTAATTTATTTACTTTTGGCTGTGCTGGGTCTTCGTTGCCGCATGGACTTTTCTCTAGTTGTGGTGCAGGGGGCTTCCCACTGTGGTGCCGTCTCCCGTGGAGCGCAGGCTTTGGCAGGTGTGTTTCAGTAGCTCGGCACGTGGGCTCAGGACTTTGGCTCCTGCGCTCTAGAGCACAGGCTCAGTAGCTTAGCTGACCCACAGCATGTGCAGTTGTCCTGGACCAGGGATGGAACCTGTGTCTTTCGTGTTGGCAGGCGGATTCTTTACCGCTGAGCCATAATGGAAGCCCCTACGGTAACTCTTCATGATAGTCGATTTACAATATATTTCAACACCCAGAAAGACTAGTCATCACTCACAGTTCTTTTTCAGGTTTTCTGGAGGACATTCTGTTTTTACTAGAGTTACTATTCTGCTCTGATTCCCAATTTATTGACCAATCTTAGGCAAGTGACTATATTTCTATATGTCACCATCATAAAAAACGGATGCTATTGGACTGAATCTGGATTATTTATATATATGGAAAGCATGAATGCTAACAAAGAAAAGTTATAAGTTTAAGTCTGGAACAGAAACTACAGTGTTAACCAGGAATAAGGATTCAGTGAGAGGGAATTTCCCTACCGAGGTTCCCGGGTCATGCTGTTTCCACTTCGCCCGCATTCGCATTCTCTGTTCTGTTTACTTTGGCATACCTGACGCCCAACCCCGGCACACTTTTAGTTAGAGCCCAAGTCAGAACTGCAGCGCTGCAAGAGACCCAGCCTGGCACTCCTAACAGCCATCTCAGCTGAAAGCTGTTCTATCTGATTTCTAAAGAATACAGATTTCTGGAGTATCACATACTCACTCTCTCACTCAGTCGCCCATCCTTGGCCCTTGTTTCAAGTCTACAAATTCCCTGGTGGGTGAAATAAATAAATGTGTGTGTGTGTGTATGTGTGTGTGTACAGGCTATACATATATACATATATATATATGTTCTGGCTTCCCTGTGGCTCAGACAGTGCGTCTCATGTTGGGGAGCGTGGCTCTAGGGCATGCGGGCTTCTGTAGTTGTGGTGCATTAGGCTGACTTGCCCTGAGGCGCGTGGAAACTTCTTGGACCAGGGATTGATCCCATATGCCCCTCATTGGCAGGCGGATTCCTAACCACTGGACCACCAGAGAAGTCCTCAAGTGGTTTTTAATAACTAACCATCCTCCATGCTTTAAGGAAAACTCAATGCGTAATTTTTCTTTTCTGTATGGTATAGAAAAATAATTCCTTCTGAGAAATGACCATTTGAAATATTATTACTAGTTGGACTACAGATATTCAGAAGAGGCCACAAGTACTAACAGTGGACTTCTGTGACCGCATTGGCAAGATTTTGCCCATGTAATGAAGGCTTATTCGAATAATCCAATTTCTTATTCATTCAACACAAAGCCTCCAGTATTTGCCGCACGCTGAGTGAGGCACTAGGGGTATAATTACGAGTAGGATACAGGCCCGGCCCTCACTGAGTCCCAGTCTATTGGTGGGCAGAGGCACACACATATTTACAACAGTGTGAGATAAGCTGGCAATATATATTAAAAATGTGCATACTCTTTGAGAAGTTCCATTTCTAAGAATTTTTTTAAAATTTGAGATGAGTGAACAAAGTACATAGAACTGATTATCGCAGTATTTCCATAACAGGAATAAACACCAGAAAATGACCACAACTGGAAGATTGTTTCTTACATGTGTGTCTGAATCTGCTCTTGAAGCTCCTTCCCAGTGAGTTATGGCCCATGTCTGCCTGATAAATACCCTTTGACACAGAGTCACAGGGCACCCAATAATCACAGCTTGCACCATATTCTCTCCAGACAGAAATTCCATCATTCAGTTTTGCCCTCACGCCAGTCAAACTGATCTGCTGGTAGATGTCAGGTTTGCTTTATAATACCAGGCTCAATATATCCAAATACCATTTTGGCATGTAATCAACACAAAGTTATTGACAACATATTTTATATTTCTTTGTACCAAATTTCTCAAATCTAGTGTATATTTTATAGGAGTTCCCTGGTGGCTCAGATTGTAAAGAATCTGCCTGGAATGCAAAAGACCTGGTTCGATCCCTGGGTCTGGAAGATCTCCTGGAGAAAGGAATGGCAACCCATTCCAGTAATCTTACCTGGAGAATCCCATGGACAGAGAAGCCTGGTGGGCTATAGTCCATAGGGTCACGAATAGTCAGACACAACTGAGACACTAACACTTTGTGTGTGTATTTTACACTTGTAGCTTGTGTGAATTTGGACTAGTGTATTTCAAATTCAGGGGGCCCAGGTTCGATCCCTAGTCAGGGACCTAAATCTCATTTGCCACAACTAAGACCCAGCACAGCCAAATAAATATTTTTAATAAAAAAAGGGGGCCTACCGCATGACACAGTGCAGTCAGAGGAAGCATGGCAGGACCTCAGAGATCATCCAGTGGATTTCTTATTTACACAAAGGTTAGGAACATTTGCTGAAGTTATACAACCAGTTTGTAGAAAAGGTGGGAGTAGAATCCAACGCTCTGTTTACCATATAGTTTTATTCACAAAGCTGATTAGTGACAAAGTTGGACTAGAACCCCCCCACCCCATACTTCCTCCTGGCTGCTCACACCTGTGGTGGGGCTCTTTTTTTTTTTTTAAACCAAGCATGGTCCCTCTACCTGTCATATTACCTTTCTCCTAAATCAGCTAACAGCCTCACTGGAAACACGTTGGCTGCCAACCAAGACCAGAGTGGAGTTGAATTTTCCCATCTTTCCACCAGATAATGCTTTTTATGACTTGCCACCTTTGTCCCTAGAAGCTCAGCTTCAACAAGCTACTTAAAAACCCTGATTCCTTTATGCAGCGGTTCTCAATAGAGGTGTCCTTCAGAATCCCCTATGGAGCTTTACTTAAGACTCAAATTACTGGGCCTCTGCTCCAAAATTTTGATTTATAACTCTGTGCAGGAATTCATGTAGGCAGGTATTTTTTAATTGTACCCCAGTTCTGGGGCACACTTCCAAACTAACAAGAACCTCACCAGATGGCAGATCACCACTGACATCGCCTGAGCCCCAGGTGGTGGAAAACTGCTCTGGTCCTGAGAGAGAGCCCAGTTTCAAGGAAAGAAACATGAGAAAGAGGTACCCTGGCACCTCCCAGGGCGGGGCTTTCTGGCTTGCTTTCCTCCACGCTCTTTCTCTGCACCCAAGGACACTTTCAGCCTCATTTCCTGATCTTACCGCCTCGCCTCTGCGGCTGCTGCACTCGGGGGCAGATGGGAATGCGGCAGACAGGACTCGCCCTCCTGGCTCTGGCTGCCTGTGCGGCTTTTCGCCCCTCGGAAGGTGAGTTGGGGGTCCGGCTCTCTCAGCCTCCAATGGAAGGAGGGGGTCTGCCTTCCAAGATGGAGCTGGAAGGAACGAGGTACTGCCAACAGTTAGGGGCAGGAATTTCCAGTTATCTCCATGAGAATGGCATACATTTCAATCCCTCATCTCCAAGAGGCAATTTCAGAAAGGAACCTCATTTGAACAGGAATATCAGTAATTTGCCACCTGTGTAATTTTGAGCAGTGCTTCCTTTTTTTGATGATACTATCTTAGAAAAACCCCCAATAGAGGCTGAACGAGAGCCTATTAAAGGCTGTCTTCAGCTATCTCCCCCTGCTAAACTGTCTAAATACAAGTGTGCACATTCCTGGAAGAAAGATAAACTTGACCTCTGGTTTAGGGTTTGGCAAGTTGCAAGCTTTCAGACCAAAGTCAGTCCTATGGATGCTGAAAACCAAAACTTCAGTCTGATTTTACAAAAGGGACTCAGGAAAAAGGAGATTGAACCATACAAATTATATCAGAGAGAACTATTTTGAGTTGCTGGCATCTATATGAAGATTATAACTGTGTTTGGACTGGAGGCAAACTTTTCTACTGTATTTAGGAAACCCTAAATATAGGTATTTAATACCTGACTGATTTGACTCTTTTCCACTGTCTTCTTTTCTGAAACTTTACCCTGAATAGATTCTCTAAATTCAGAACAGAGGTAAAATGTAAATTTTGTTTGGTCTTCTTTTTGAAAACTTCAGGCAGCATTTTAAATTGATGGTTTCACACACACATAGTTGTGTGTACACACATACAAACTGGATTTTAGGGCTTCTCCTGAAAAATCAGGTCTGGCAGCACTGGTTCCACTTTCTCTGGCAAGAATGAATAGAGCATACTATCCCTTTGCCATTCACCTGAAACTATCACAACACTGCTTGTTAATCAGCTATACCCCAATACAATATAAAAAGCTAAAAAAAAAACAAAAACCAAACAAACTGCTAAAGCAGACTAGCCTCTTTCCTTCTCTGGACAGAGAGAAGGGCATCCTATTAACTGCTTGGCTATTAACATCCTATTAACTGCTTGGCTATTAACATCCTATTAACTGCTTGGCTCCTGTAGGCATTTTCTTAGGGACTCCCAATATAGCACCCCAATGTGCAGAGCTTTACTAATGAGCACAGTTCTTCATCTCTATCCTTCTATTTTATCAAGGCAAAAAGGTTTTCATTTTATGTTTCTGTAAATTTTTCAGAAAATTTCACCATTGAGATTTTAGGACTCAGATCCATTGTTTCCCAAAAGTCTACCAGCTAAGGCTTCATTCCTAGTATTGGCAATGTGATTTTTTTTTTCTCTTTTCACATGAAGCTTTGAAACAAAGGTGTATACGTCTCCCCCATCAGCTTCTTGGCCTGTTTCTAGCCTTCCCTGTGGCAGAGGCAGCAGCAGCACTCCTCCAGGAGAGGCGGGAGGGAAGGGCAGGCAGAGGGAGCAGAGTGATGAGGAAAGCCCTGCCAGACCCAAGGCCAAGGTCTGCTTGGGAATGAGTTCTGGCAAAGAGGGTGGAACAACAAAACACTGGGGTGTTTGAAAAGGAACAGTTGGTGATGATAAGAAAGAGCTGAGGAGATGTGACTGTAATGTTCTGAGTTAGTCTCAGGGCTTCTCCTAAGGTGGTTTGTGTGTTAGTCACTCAGTCATGTCCGACTCTTTGCAACCCCATGGACTGTAGCCCACCAGGTTTCTCCATCCACGGGATTTTCCAGGCAAGAATACTGGAGTTTGTTGCCATTTCCTTCTCCAGGGGATCTTCCTGACCCAGGGATTGAACCTGGGTCACCCACATTGCAGGCAGGCTCTTTACCACCTGAGCCACCAGGGAAGCCCACGGCAGTTTGGGTCACAGGAAAATCACATTGTCTGGGAAGCTCCAAGTTTCTGCCGCTTAGAAATAAGTGATGTGCCTTCCTTTTTTTTGTGGGACATGTATTAATATTAAGTTAACCTTAAAAGTACATCCCAATATATATTGTTGTTCAAGCTAAGTTGTGTCCGACTCTGCAACCCCATGAACTGCAGCATGCCAGGTTTCCCTGTCCTTCACCATCTCCTAGAACTTGCTCAAACTCATGTCCATTGAGTCGGTGATGCCATTCAACCATCTCATCCTCTGTCATCCCCTTCTCCTCCCACCTTCAATCTTTCCCAGCATCAGGGTCTTTTCCAATGAGTCAGTTCTTCACATCACATGGTCAAAGTATTAGAGCTTCAGCTTCAGCATCAGTCCTTCTGGTGAATATTCAGGATTGATTTTCTTTAGGATTGACTGGTTGGATCTCCATGCTGTCCAAGAGACTCTCAAAAGTCTTCTCCAACACCACAGTTCAAAAGCATCAATTCTTCAGCACTCAGCCTTCTTTATGGTCCATCTCTCACATCCATAGCTGACTACTAGAAAAATCGTAGCTTTGATTAGATGTACCTTTGTCGGCAAAATGATGTCTCTGCTTTTTAATATGCTGTCTAATTTTTTCATAGCTTTTCTTCCAAGGAGCAAGCATCTTAATTTCATGACTGCAGTCACTGTCCAGTGCTTTTTGTAGGAAGCTTCCATTCAAGGGTCTGTGTGTCTCAAGTGTCCTGTGGAGGTTGTAAGGAATGCAGGCTGGGAGGAAGGTCAGGCTGGGAGGAAGGGAGGTGAACACTCCCTATGGCTATTGTCTTGGGCTCAGGGAAATAAGGAAGTGGTCTGTGCCAGTCTGAGACTTGGGAAATGTGTTTTGTTTAGTAAGGCATTAAATGTTACATTATCTTAATGGTGCCTACAGTGGCCATCTTGATGTGATGGCTTAGTAACTGGCATTCCCCAAATGTTCTGTATAAATCAGGAAGCGGTTGACTTACCCATAATTAAAAGCCTTGGATTCTACCCAAAGATAGGGCAATACTCCACCCCCAATGAGGTGGCTGCCAATTCCCAGAAATCAATTCTGACTCCATAAAAATGTCTATTATTCAATGGCTAAAAGCCAGATTCTTTGAAGCCACAATCCAGGTTTTGTGGATCTTACTGTTTTTATTTTGCATTAAAGACTAAATGTCCACTTTGTCCAGCAGATACAAGTTGGGGGATTTTGCTTCATTGAGTCCCAAATTGGCTTTCTTCAAGTTTCTTCTGATAGTCTGCCTTCTCACAGTAGGATGGCTCCTGATTAGAGATATGTGCTAAGGACTTGCTGCTTGAATCCTGAAAGAAAACTTTACCTTTTTTTTGTTTCAGTTATAGCAGATTCACTACAGAGGGTTGCCAAGAATATACATCTGTGCTTGTAAACTGGGACTCTCCATTTCACCAGGAGTGGTCCCCAAGAGGCCAGACATGACATGCCCAGTAACCTTGTTTTCTCTTCAAGTTTGCCCTTCAGGGTGTTTTGTTCTGTTTTTAATTTAATTTTATTTTTAATTGGAGGATAATTACTTTACAATGTTGTGATGGTTTCTGCCACACATCAGCATAAATCAGCCATAGGCTTACATATGTCTCCTCCCTCTTAACCTTCCCTCATATTTGTGTTTTTTTTTAATGTTCTTTTCTATGTTTAGAGAAGCAGAGTGACTTCTTATAATACAGTAGCAACTGTCTCAAATTTCAGTCATATATGGACTCCTTTAAAGAAAAAATTCTTTATTCTTAATGATGACATTTAAATTATTTTACTACATCACTTGATGTATAAACATAAACCAGGCATATTCCCCATATATATGTATGTGTATATATATATATATATTTATATAATATATTTGTTGTTGTTCAGTCACCAAGTTGTATCTGACTTTCATTCATTCCCTGTTATACAAACATTATCTCAGGGCTCCAAGAAGTAACTGGGAGGACTTTATTTGGACACAGCAGTTTCATGCATCATGGCTTAGTGAGTCCTTCTTGCCTATGTGGTGCAGTAGTGGACACCTTTGTTTGTAGGTATTCGAAGTATGATTTGGCTCCATTAAAGTATGAAATTCACTAGAAGCGGAAATGTGTCCCCAAACAACTATAATTGGAACATTTAAGTGCTGTCATTCTTTTTTTTTTTCACTTTAAAAAATTTTATACCTATTGCCATTTTTAAATTGTACTTGTAGACTTGAGATACTGACAGAAGTCAAGTGAATCTTTATCATTTTCAGCTTTATCCTGGGAATATTTCTCTAACAATGGCATGTACCTTTGCTCTGTTTCCATTCTACTGTGTTCTCTAAAGTGCTATTTGTATTGGTGTTTTCCAAACTGCATTTCTAATAAGCCCCCAGGGGACACCATACCATAGCTCTGAGAGCCACACTTTGAGTAGCTATATATCTAAGTAAGAGAGGAAGCTGGGTCACCTCTCTACGGTAACAGAATCCTTAAAGCTCAGAATCTAATTGTTATATCACGATTTGCAGTGTTTTACTGTTGGTCTTATAAAGTCTTGAGTAAGGAAATAGTTAAAGCCTTCTCTTAGTGACCAAAATTGGATCACAGACATAAAGTCAAATCAGAGACAGACATTTGTAGCAAATTAACCATTCAACTCTCTGACACTTAATACTGGAAACAACAATGACAACCCCAAAGCAACAGGAACATTGGCAATAACACTATAGTAAAAGATAATGTTTTTAATGAGATACTAATAACACCATCTTTAAAATATTAAATATAATACAAATGATTTATCATATTGAATTAACCCCTAATTACTTGAGGGTGGGAGGATGGTATGTTTTTTAAAAAGCACTGTGCAGTTTTAGGACACTTGGGACATAAGACCTTAACCAAAAACTTATTTTTTAAAAAAGGAAAAGCACTAATGCCAGGCACTGTGCTAGGTGGTTTGGACATAAAAGATATGCTGAGGGAGTTCACAGTCAAAAGGCATAGTCATATAAACCCTAAAATTTATACATATGTAAAATATATAAAACCAAAAAAGCACGTGGTACCGTAAGACCTCAGATCCATGTGG